CACGAGCTCATTTCAGTTTTTCAGTAGCCCATAATAAATATGATCATTCATCATTTTGTTCGTTCTTTATTCCATTTAATCAGTTCCTTCAGATGATTACTAAGCTTCCATCCAATATAATCCCAGAAGAGATTTAGTATGGTGAGTGTCTGTGTGAAAACCCGCAGATGCGAATATGAGAGAGGTGAAGAGAGAATGAGGATCACCGTGTTATTTTGTAATGCATCAGCCAGATGTTGTGCTCCTTCGTCCCCGATTTCCTTATTTTCGAGATGTAATATAGTGAGTGTCTGTGTGAAAAAAGTGCACATGGGCATATGAAAGAGATGAAGAGAGAATGAGGGTCACCGTGTTATTTCGTAATGCATCAGCGAGATGTTGTGCTCCTTGGTCCCCGATTTCATTGTTTCGGAGATGTAATGTGGTGAGTGTCTATGTGAAAAGGTGCAGATGGAGCTATGAGAGCGATGAAGAGAGCATGAGGGTCACCGTGTTATTTCGTAATGCATCAGCGAGATGTTTCGCTCCGAGATCTCCGATTTTATTTGAATTAAGATCTAGTGTGGTGAGTGTCTGTGTGAAAAAGCGCACATGGGCATATGAAAGAGATGAAGAGCGAATGAGGGTCACCGTGTTATTTCGTAATGCATCAGCCAGATGTTGTGCACCGAGAGCTTCGATTCGATTATAGGAGAATTCTAATGTGGAGAGCGTCTGTGAAAAAGTGCACACGAGGATATGAAAGAGATGAACAGGGAATGAGGATCACCGTGTTATTTCGTAATCCATCAGCCAGATATTGTGCTCCAAGAGCTCGAATTTCATTGGCGAAGATATATAGTGCCGTGAGTGTCTGTGTGAAAAAAGTGCACATGGGCATATGAAAGAGATGAAGAGAGAATGAGCGTCACCGTGTTATTTCGTAATGCATCAGCGAGATGTTGTGCTCCTTGGTCATCGATTCCATTGTTTTGGAGATGTAATGTGGTGAGTGTCTATGTGAAAAGGTGCAGATGGAGATATGAGAGCGATGAAGAGAGCATGAGGGTCACCGTGTTATTTCGTAATGCATTAGCCAGATGTTGTGCTCCAAGAGCTCCGATTTGATTATAGGAGAGTCCTAATGTGGTAAGTGTCTGTGTGAAAAAGTACACATGGGCATATGAAAGAGATGAAGAGAGAATGAGGGTCACCGTGTTATTTCGTAATGCATCAGCCAGATGTTGTGCTCCAAGAGCTCCGATTACATTATGGGAGAGTCCTAATGTGGTAAGTGTCTGTGTGAAAAAGTGCACATGGGCATATGAAAGGGATGAAGAGAGAATGAGGGTCACCGTGTTGTTTCGTAATGCATTAGCCAGATGTTGTGCTCCAAGAGGTCCGATTTGATTATGGGAGATTTCTAATGTGGTGAGTGTCTGTGAAAAAAGTGCACGTGGGCATATGAAAGGGATGAAGAGAGAATGAGGGTCACCGTGTTATTTCGTAATGCGTCAGCCAGATGTTGTGCTTCTTGGTCCCCGATTTCATTGTGTTGGAGATGTAATATGGTGAGTGTCTGTGTGAAAAGGTGCACATGGGCATATGAAAGAGATGAAGAGAGAATGAGGGTCACCGTGTTATTTCGTAATGCATTAGTCAGATGTTGTGCTCCAAAAGCTCCAATTTGATTATAGGAGAGTTCTAATGTGGTGAGTGTCTGTGTGAAACGGTACAGATGGGGATATGAGAGGGATGAAGAGAGAATGAGGGTCACCGTGTTATTTCGTAATGCATTAGCCAGATGTTCTGTACCGAGAGCTTCGATGTTAGTAAACCAGAGTTCTAATGTAGTGAGTGTCTGTGTGAAAAAGTGCACATGGGCATATGAAAGAGATGAAGAGAGAATGAGGGTCACCTTGTTATTTCGCAATGCATTAGCCAGATGTTGTGCTCCGAGAGCTCCGATGTTATTGAACCAGAGTTCTAATGTGGTGAGTGTCTGTGTGAAACGGTACAGATGGAGATATGAGAGCGATGAAGAGAGTATGAGTGTCACCGTGTTATTCCGTAATGCATCAGCCAGATGTTCTGCTCCGAGAACTGTGATTTCATTGTGTTTGAGATGTAATGTGGTGAGTGTCTGTGTGAAAAAGTGCACATGGGCATATGAAAGAGATGAAGAGAGAATGAGGGTCACCGTGTTATTTCGTAATGCATTAGCCAGATGTTGTGCTCCTTGGTCGCCGATTTCATTGTTTTGGAGATGTAATGTGGTGAGTGTCTATGTGAAAAGGTGCAGATGGAGATATGAGAGCGATGAAGAGAGAATGAGGGTCACCGTGTTATTTCGTAATGCGTCCGCCAGATGTTGTGCTCCAAGAGCTCCGATTTTATTAGAGGAGATTTCTAATGTGGTGAGTGTCTGTGAAAAAAGTGCACATGGGCATATGAAAGGGATGAAGAGAGAATGAGGGTCACCGTGTTATGTCGTAATGCATTAGCCAGATGTTGTGCTCCAAGAGCTCCGATTGGATCGCCTTGAAGATGTAATTTGGTGAGTGCCTGTGTGAAGAGGTGCAGATGGGTATATGAGAGCGATGAAGAGAGCATGAGGGTCACCGTGTTATTTCGTAATACATCAGCCAGATGATGAAAAAAATTCTTTTCTAATGTGTACATACGTATATTATATGGAGGTGGCGGTAGTTTTTATTGAATTTGAAAATAAATTTGTTTTATCCTATATGGTATATCATAAAGGACGGGGGCGTATAAGGGTCATTTTTGGGCCCTCGTCATTTTTGGTTGATTCATAGTTTACTAGGTGCGGAATTTCAGGAGAAATCGTTTGGTATCAAAATAAAGCTATTTCGGAAGAGTCTAGATGGACTTTTATTGAAAATACTAGCATATATTTTGTACCATAAATCGATCATTCATACATGGACATGTGATCCATGTAAATTTTCCTATCTTAAGATATATCGAACCGAAAATTATGTCATTCGACTAATTACTCTAGAGTCTATCTCTGGTAAAATTTTCAGCCCAAACGGTTAAAGTGTTGATGAGTAATGATGAAAATATTGTAACACATCAGCGTGAAATTCATATACTATGTTATCACTGCTGTTCACTGTTTTCTCAATATCTCCAGAAAGGAAGAAAACAACATGGATTTTTGATAGATTCTGAAAGCCCGGAAATAGGGTTTCAAAATCAAATAGTTTTTGATATTTTTAGAGGTAGTCTTTCATAAATAAGATTAGTTGACTTTTGTTTAGATACCATTTTTTGCATTTTTTGACCAGTATTTCACAGATTTCAATAAGAAAAGTATAATTTCAGTCCAAATCAATAATATATTTGGAATCAGCACAAAAGCCGGAGTCGACTTATATGTGTTTCAAAATGTTCCATCGTACTTTTTTTTCTTGAAAAATTCACCTGAGCCCCCATCAGGGTTCGGTCAAAAAATTAATTTAACGAGAAAATCATTTGAATGGTACAAAACAATTTCAAAGCTTGTGAAATGTTCTCACAAGACAAAATAACAAGCATCTGAACAATAATAAAGGTGTTTGGCTTAAATTCACTTTTTGACTGGACCCTGTGGGGGACCCCAGGTGAATTTTTTCAGGGAAAAAAAGTACGATACAAGACTTTGAAACATACATAAACCGACTCCATTTTTTGTGCTGATTCCAAATATATTATTAACTTTACCTGAAATTCTATTTTTTCCTACTGAAATCTGTGAATTACTGACCAAAAATGCAAAAAATGGTGTCTAAACAAAAGTCAACTGATCTTATCTATGAAAGGCCACCTCTAAAAATATCAAAAACTATTTGATTTTGTAACCCTATTTCCGGGCTTTCAGAATCTATCAAAAACCCATGTTGTTTTCTTCCTTTCTGGAGATATTGAGAAAACAGTGAACAGAAGTGATAACATAGTATATGATTTTCACGCTGATGTGTTACAATATTTTCATCATTACTCATCAACACTTTAACCGTTTGAGCTGAAAATTTTACCAGAGATAGACTCTAGAGTAATTAGTCGAATGACATAATTTTCGGTTCGATATATCTTAAGATAGGAAAATTTACATGGATCACATGTCCATGTATGAATGATCGATTTATGGTACAAAATATATGTTAGTATTTTCAATAAAAGTCCGTCTAGACTCTTCTGAAATAGCTTTATTTTGATACCAAACGATTCCTCGTGAAATTCTACATCTAGTAAACTATGAATCAACCAAAATTAACGAGGGCCCAAAAATGACCCGTATGCGCCCCCGTCCTTTAAATACCCGTTTATATTGATGATTATATCTCGAAAGAAAAGAAACAAAAAGATGTGTGGAGGGGAGGTTGGGTGCTAGTTCAGAGAAGATCATACCCACATCCACACCCATATCCTAATTTAAGAAAATCTGGTTTTTAGGAATCGCGTGATATTGATTCTCAACTATAAAATGTTTAACAGCAGCTAGATTTATTTATTTAATAACTATATAAATAATACAATTATTGTCGATGTTTCGATATTTCACATATCATTTTCAAGACAAATTTACAATGACGTTTTCTCAAGAAAACATGACAATATATACGAAGAAAAAGAAAAAGAATGACAATCAATAGGCAGGTGAATGCGCACCACTATTATGAGTATTATAGTCGAATATGCGCATATTCGACTATCTCCCCCCCCCCCCCTCCCATGTGGTGTATTATTTTGTCATAATTTAATTGTAGCAGTTGGTTTAGATATTTGAAGACCTTCAGGGTATATTATCAGAGGAGCAGAAGAAGTCGTTCGGTTGAGAATAGGTTTATTTTGTAGAATATGTAGAGATTCACGAACTAATAAACGAGATCTTCTGATATCTTTTGAGATAATTTTCCATTCTTTCCAATTAATCTTATGATTTGTTCCAGTATGATGTCCATAAAGGGATGATTTCTTTAATTGTTCGTCATTTTTTATCTGATGTTTATCCTCTAAGATATATCATGTTTTGCACAATAATTAATTTTTGGTTTTCCTTTATTACGATCGGATCTGCTTAAGTGTTGATCTGGTGGTGTATGGACGTCCGTTCTAGTACAAGGAGAGGATTTAATCTGTTGTGGTGCTCCATGTTCTTGGTGTCTCTTGAATGCTTCTCGAACGGTTTTTCCTACATAACTAACGTCACATTCAGAACATGATATCATGTAAACAATATTGGATTGGTAATCTTTCAGAATTTTATCTTTCTGTGGAAAAAACGTTTCTGGTGCACGAGATGGACGAGGAATTGGCTGTATGTGTAGACCAGGTCGAGTAGTCTGAGCCAATTGTGCAAGTTTCTTCGCTAGAATTTTAGTTTCATTACCAATATAAGGTAAGTCAATGAGGAGTTGCTGACTTTTTGAGTATGTATCGTCTAATTTTGCTGATTTAGATGTTGGATTTCTAGGTGTATTAGATCTTTCTAGATATTTATTGAGTGTCTTCCTAATTCGACTTTGAATGAATCTTAATGGATAATCATTATCTAATGCTAAGTTTGTGATAAATTCAAATTCTTCATTCATTGATGAATAGGTAGAGCAGATCTTAATCGCTCTGTAAATCGTTGAGTTAATGGCCGAGACTTTAAATGAATGAGGAACGTAGAAGTTTCAATTTAATAAAAGTCCAGTAAACGTAGGTTTTCTATAAATAGATGTTGAGAATGAATTTAACTCAGAGGTACTTAGTGTTCTAGTGATCGAAATATCAAGAAATGAGAGACAGTTGTCTACTTCTGGTTCTGCTGTAAATTGTATATCAATATCAAAACTATTCACAATATCTAACAACTTGTCGGTGTCAGCATTTTCTTTAATAATTACGAAGCAATCATCTACGTAACGTTTCCAATATAATATTCCATTATGATCTAATCTACGTTTTAGTTTGGATTCTAAATAATTCATATAGATATCAGCAAATAACGGCCCTAACGGACTCTCCATAGCAATCCCTTCTTTTTGGCAATAGATTTTTCCATTAAATAAAAAATGGGATTCTTCGGTTGAGAATTCTAATAAACATTTTAATTCATATCTATTTCTACAGTTATTACACCATTCGTCACGTTTTATTTCAGTATTATAAGTGCAAGTGTGCTCAGGTCCATACATCATTTCTAATATAAGTTGAATGGTACGTGCTAATGGAACTTTTGTAAACAATGAAATTACATCGAAAGATATCATTTTAATTTTTCCATTAGGAAATGTTAACTTTTGAAGTTCATCAACGAATTTAAATGTGTCGGTAACTATGGATGAACTTGCTCTTAAGTGTTTTAATTTTTTTGCTAGTAATTTGGATAACTTATAACAGAATGTGTTACACGTAGAGATGATAGGACGTAATGGGATATCTTTTTTGTGGATTTTGGGAAGTCCATAAGCGTTTCCGGGTTGAGATCCTACAGGACGAGCAAAATAATATTCAGTTTCGGTTATAAATCCTGAGTTTTTTAATTTTAATAATTTCCTCTGTAGTTTTTCTTCTTTCTGTATAGTTGGATCAGAGTCTAATTGAGTAAAGGTCTTCGTATCATTCAGGATTGTTTCCATTTTATTAATATAGTCTACCTTATCGAGAATGACGACTGCTCGACCTTTGTCGGCACTTGTAATGTATATAGAATCATCTTTCGATAAGTTTTTTAATGTTTTCATTATAGGATCAATTTCTTTCTTAAATTTCATTATAGATTTCTTAGCACGTTGTCGGAAGTTGTCGCAGTATTTCCGTAATTTGTTTGCTACAAATAGTTGCTCAGGTGTTAAATTATATATAATTTCCTCCTCTTCGTCACATTCATCGTAATCATTCTTACCGGAGCAGTGTCCAGTTAAATTTGCAAAAAAGGTTTCAATATTTGCTATGAATGATTCATCATCGAATGTCACTGCAGGATAAACAAAATCAAGTCCATTTTTTAATGCTAATAGTTCTTGCGGTGGGTGTGGGTGTGATTGTGGGTGTGTAGGTGTGGGAGTGTATCTTGTTTTTATCTATACCCACACCCACACCCTTTATTTCTCGAAACCATTTATTTGAAAGAGATTTAATTATATTGACAAATAAATCTAACAGTTATTGAAAAATTATAACTAGATGAAGAGTATTAACACAATACTCGTTTTATTTATTATTAAAAATCTTAATCAAATTCGATTGATATAAATATCAAAAAAATAATTCATTGATAATTCTTTGTTTTCTTACATTTCCTCAATTGTCTTGTATTTTTTTTTCTTCGTCTTTTTCTTCAACATTAAAAAGCCAATAGATGACAAGATATTGAGAAACGATAAAATGTCGATGAATATATCGTCGTATTCGTCTGAGATGAACTTTTTCATCAAATTGGTTTATTTTAACAGAATAATATAAATAAACATACATGTTCTAGCAGCATATATACAATCGACAGAAAAATAAAATATGTTACAATTTTTATATGAAACATTCTATGATATCATTGATGTCTACTCTTTCTTTTAATAATAAAGAAAAAATAAATGCGGAAACTTCGGATTTAAATACGAGAGTTATGTGTACTTCAAAAAGTGAATTAGACAGATGAGTCATCCTAGAATATGTGGATATCAAAATTATACTGGGAAACCTTTCCTATAAACTGTTTATTTCTGTTGACTATTGATNAAGATCTTTGCGACAGCCCGCTTCTATTCAAATGATAGAGAAAACATTTTCCTTCAATTTGGCAGTAAATCTGAATATGTCTTGATTTGAAACTTGATGTAACAAAATCAAAATTGCGGTGAGCTTAAATTAGCAATCCTCAAAACAAGAATTAGGTGAACAAAAGAAAGGTTTTGTTGAGACGCATTCAGAGTATGTCAAAAAATTATTCTCTTAACTGATAGAGCTTCTCATATGCTATAAAGTGGTGTATTTAGGTTTTTTAAAATCTGGTCAAAGAGCGACGCAACATTGTAAAAACGAAAAACAGTGATTTGAAAGTGGGCTTCTTTGGAGCATTGCAGTGTTGATCAGATATGATTTCTCAGCTATTCATCGGAAGAGTTTCTTTTCATATAATTTTGTAGAGAATTGAATGGCGCATCTTTTAGATAAAGGTTGAAGCCTGGGCAATGAAAATTGAGGGAGATATTCACGAAATACTGACACCGCCATTCTTTATGGGCCACCCGTTAGTTGGTTTCTGTTGGGATATTTAATTTTTATGGCATTGTTTAACAGAACATCATGACATTTGTTCGTTTCATTTGGAAAATCACTGATCAAATTCCCATTTGATAGTTTGCACAGAGAATGTCTTCAATAAAAGTATTTTAAGCTTAATAGATGGAATTCTTCGTTGCTCCTATCCTATAATTCATGCAAAAAATAATACTTTTTCTTGTATCCTTATGGAGGAATAGAAGGAACTTGAAAGTATAAAGCTTTCATTATAGATTGTTCTCATTGAACCCTTTTTTCTTTGTAAAGTTTGAAGTACAGATTGAATTTGAGGAAAATCACGGCGATCTGCTAGAAATAGCAGTAAAAGTCAAATATCTCAGCCAAAATAATTTAACGAAACGAACTCTTTTTAAAGTATTCAGAACTTATTAGATCCTATATGCTGCTAATGATTTTGACTCGAAAATGGATCGCTAATTGATGACGTTCTCTCATAAGTTGAAGGCAAAGTATTTCCGAATGATAATAAGGATCTACATTAGTAAGTTTTGACTAGTCATGATCTTTGGAGCTGATTTTTTGGATAAATTCTGCTTTTCTTCCGGTAATCATCTTTTTCAGGAGAAAAAACAATAAATGTTGAGAATTCATCTCAATAAAAATACTTAGAAATTGGATAAATGTTATTTTTTTATATTGCCCATTTCCAGAAATGAATGAACTCCATCAAGTTTGAACCTTTAAAACTGTTGAAGCTTTAGGCTCCTACATCAAATATAATTCATAATACGAAAATATTATAACATTTTTTTTTATGAGATATCTACGGATACATATTGAGGATAGAGAGTCTCATACGACAAATCATACGCAAAAGAGTAGCAGGTGAAGACACGCATATTGCGTTGGTGAATTAGGGCAACTCCAGCAGTATTGAACGTGAAATTTGAATTCAATTATTCAACACCTTTCTAGATATTCAACTATATAATAATAGAATAATTAAAGTGAAAATAAGCAACTATTCAACTATTCAATAGTGTAATAATTGAAATAATGGTATTCAACTATCCAATTACTGAACAATTGAAGTAAAAATATTCAATTAATCAACTATTGTTTCGCCCCACTCACATCGAGAGACATGTATGTGTGTTTCCGTGTCATTCAAATAATGAATAATTGAATATCTTTATTTCAATTATTAAATAGCTGAATAGTTGAATCCAAATTTCAGATTTAACAAGTATGTGCAACTAATACTGCAATGAATGCTACGCAATTAGAGAAGATATTAATTAAACTCGGCGTAATGTCATGCAAAACATCATATTCTTTATTGTACAAGACTTCGGTTAATTCTACTTAAGAATTCACTTTTTTTTAGACAAGGCTTATAAGCTAAAGAATCTTCTGATGTCAACCAATCGTTTCATTCGTCTTTTCTTAGAGAAACTTTTTTATGAACATACAAAATATTAAGTAGTTACATGTCATTCACAGTATCTAAAAGTTATCATCAGTATCAAGATTCACACTCATTTAGAATTCTTTTAGGTCATTTTGTTTTTTCTGAATCAAGGAAAATACTTGCATCCATAGTGAGTTTATACAGCTGTTTGGAGTTTAACATATCCTCAAAGAGAGTTTTCTTTGTTGTATCCTGCAAATTGCAAAACATTATCTCTCAGTTATCCTAGTTTTTATGACGCAGACGCAGAACACCAAAAAGTTCGTCCTAACAGGATACATCTTGCAAGATGATCTTTTCATTGCATTTTTTAACAAAGATGAAAACTTCTTTGCATATCCAGTACGATGACAAATGTCATAGGCGTACTAGTCATACAAAAATCATTTATAATATAATCATGTTAATAAATCTTATCACATGTTTTCCAGTAGAAATGGAATGAAAATTAAAAAAAGACATGGTATTCATAATGTGAATAAAACAAATAGTCAAACCAACACAAAGATACAAAAATTATAATGTGATCAATATAAATAGATAGCCAACAATAAAGTATAAATTGTCTTTTTTATTGTTTTTCTTAAAATTCTCGTATGAACGAATAAATGATATGTTATTAATTTGACTTGGCGATGAACGTTCATCGTTGAATAAATGTCAATCTAGCTGAGCTAAGAATAATCTTTTCGTAAAAGTATTAGTTGCTGGTATGGCATTTACTCTCCTGGTTACTGTTGATAATAATGCACAAGCTTGACGAGTTCTAATACTAGAATGAAACTTCATTGGATCACCATTAGTTATCTGACTTAGCTGTGCTGCAGTTCCTACGTTCTGTGGTGTTCTCTGATGTGAATACTAAACAGTCAGTGATTCATGATTTTGATCACCTTGAACATAGAAAATAGATCAGACCATGAAAATAGGCTATATAAATATTGTTAAAATTAGCTGCTTTTCTATTTTTCTTCTTGTAGTCAAATCGTCTCTCGAGTCTTTATATCTTCATCATAAACCAGTAACAATGTCATATGTTATATTTATTTTATCAAATGGAGTCTATATGGTGATACCCAGATAAAGAATATGTGATAGCCTTAAAGTTGCTCGTGTTAGGGTTAAATTTGCTTCTGCTATGACATCACCATACGAATTTAATATGTTTTTATCCTATAACGAAAAATGATTCATGACTCTAAACATCGGAACATGTTAGATCTTACCTATTTATACAGGGTGTGCATGAGTCAATACGGTTGTGGGTGTGCATCTTTCCTCAGCTACACCCCCATCATGCTCTCGACTTTGTTACAGTGACAACTGATTAGTCAATTTATCGATTTATTTTTAACGAGCTTTATTTTTCTCATAACCGTTAATTTCAATCTTTTGTAAAGATCACCCAAATATTTATCATCATTACATTAAAAAGCAATTATTTCAACATATTGTCAATCAGCGAACAAATAAAATATTTACGAGTTCTAAACAGCTTTTTTTGTACATTTTGACAAATAATGTCATGTTATTGACTTTTTTCCTATTTATTACAACAGATGGACTACTAGACATATATAAGGAACAAGGGGGAATGTTCATAGAAAGAAATATTCCATAGATGATGATAGACGAGAGGAGAAAATCACCTCTCGAATATCAATAAGAGAAAAAATTCATAACACGTATCAAACAGTAACCCAAAATAACATGAATGACAATAGAATGACTGACAAGGAACAAAGTACAAAACAGAAAAGAATATACTATAATGCGACTCAGCAATCTATTAAGATCAAAAGAGGTTTCGTATAAGTAATCCCATACAGCATCTTTTCTTAGAGTGTACAAAGTAGTTTTGATCTTAACATACAACATCTGATTATTTGTTGTTTCAAGAATGGTGATCAAAACACTGGCAAAAAA